CTTCTCCAATATAAGTTTGTTTCGTTCCGTTTCTTTTTCTTCTTATCTATTTTGGCTTGTGGGTTACGGAAACATTGATTATCATCCTGGTTTTGCTCAAGGTAAGGCGCAGAAGAGAGTGGGTATTTATCAATATGTGGGATTATTTGGCAAGCATGGGATAGGAGTTTGGGTCCTGGTATTGTTTGTTAGCTGTTTGCCTATCGGAGGAGAGTGGGGTTTGGGGACAGATCTGGGTACCTATGTAGGTGAGGCTGGGGGGAAGGGTGATAGAGAGCGCTTGATAGAATAGGAGGAGTACACGGAAGGGGGGTAGGGGCAGAGAAATGAAAAGATATTGTTTTGTGTATGTATTTTTAGACATCAGCGATGGGGAGGGTTCATGGGGAGTTGAGCAATTGTACCATTTCCCAGGCAGCTTGAAAATTATTTACCTCGTCTGTTTGTGTGTTCATGTGAGAATCTGGCCATGGGTAATTTGGGTTTATCAAATGGATACTCCTGCATGTTAGGTATACGAAGTTACAGGCGAGTTTTCTTCTCGGTGGACCTACCTATATGAGAACGGGTTGCAATAGGGTGCCTACCTATGTTTACAAACCCGACATGGCAATTTTTATGTTGGCATCTAATGGTCAAGTTTTGGCGATGGACGACCCCAAGTTAACAAACTGACCAAGATGTTTCAAGAAAAAATATCAGGGAGTAAAAAAAATAAAAAAAATAAAAAAAAGAAAACTCAACAAGACACAAAAATTGGAGTGGGATGATTTTACTTTGATCTTTTTCACAGATTGGGTTGGGTTTCGTGGTATAACTGATATATGGGGCAGATAAACAGGAGGATGAAAATGATAAAGGAAAAGAAGAATAGGGTACGCTGTGTTTTAGTATAGTGTTGATTGTTTGGGGGGTGAAATATACCGTAGAGTTTGTGTGTAGGGATCTTGATTGATGTTGTGTGGGTGGAGGTTGTGTGAATGGGGGTTGTGGGATTGAGGTTTGGTTTACATGAGTTTGGTGATGGTTTTGGTGATGGTTTTGGTGATGGTTTTGGTGATGGTGCTTGTGTGGTGATGATCTTCTTTCGCGGATGTTTCAAGAACAGGGGATCAGACGGTACAATGGGCAGTACTATGTACATTACACTGATGGCATTCTCCAGTTCCTTTTCCTGTCAAAGATAACGATCGAATATATACAGGTATACAGCCAAACCAGCTTCAACCACCAGGCGAGTAGTATCGACAAGCAGCCTTCCCATTTTATTTACTCCAGATAAAACACTGTTCAATTGGGGATAAAACAAACTCATCAAACGCCGTGCCATGCATATCTACCGAACCAAAGTAGAACCCCCCGCGCCCCTCTAATTGTTTATTCCTCACCGGAGCATGCCCATTAGTCTCCTCCTCCTTCTTCTTGTCAACCACATTCTTAGGCACCTCATAAACGACCAACCCACATCTCCCCTCCTTCATGTACTTCCACCTCCCAAGTCTCATCTCCTTCCCGGTAACCGCCACCACGCAGAGTCCGTCCTTGCCTCTCTCCCCTCTCTCAAACACGGCAAGATCGTTCACGATTCCCCTCGCGAGACTCTTTTCTTCCTTGTCGCCACTGTCCTCCGAGTCTATTGGCTGCCCCAGAACACCCACCCTCTCAATCTTCTTCTTATCATCACTCAGCCTCCACACCCTGACACTCCCATCCCAGCTCCCGCTAAAGATCAGATCCGAGTAAGGAACCGTTCTCAAAGCTGTGATACCCCTTGGCTGAGGGGGAGGAATATCCTTAGGGTTAAAATCCTCCGGATTCCCACCAGAAAGCTCCCTAGGACTCAACGCAGGGTCCAGACCATGCGCTCTCGCAACCACGTGCAAAGCCTTTTTCCTCTGAATGCTCCAAAGCGCCAAATCGCCATTGTCACTGCCCGTGACAAATATCTCGTCATCCAACATCGCGACTCTGTCCATTGACCCCTCATGAGCAGCGCTCGCTGGATTCAGCCCGGCCGGAAGTTTGTGTTTCTTGGTGTTGGTCGACCCGCCCTCACCGCCACCTCTAAACACAAGCTGAGATTCCTCAGGCACCTTCCAGTAACGGGCTGTACGATCTCTCGCGCCGACTGACACGCAGCGCTCCTGGCCCAAGGCATCCACGTCCATAATCTCGTCTTGGTGGCCGAACAATGTTTCGACGTACGCCAATTCGTTCAGGGAGAAGACCTTGACTGTGCGGTCCTTGGAGCAGGAGAAGATCTGGTTGGTGCCCCGGCGGAAGGCAATGCCGGTGACGGCGTCGCGGTGCTGGGTGAAGGCTCGGATAGGCTTGAGGGTCTCGGCGTCGTAGACGACCAGCTTGCGGTCGAGGCCGCCGGTGACGACAAACTTGCCGTCTTGGGATGCTTTTACTGTAATTGGAGCCGCGGTGTGGCCTTGGAAGGTCTTGTCCTTGGCTTTGAGGGGCTGAGACTTGACAAAGGCGATGCGCTCAGGTCTGCGCTTGGGAGGGGCAGGGGGCTTCTTGGGCTTTTTGCGGGTGGTTTGAGGCCATTGGTTCTTGGGGAGGTCTTGGAGCTTCCATTTGGTGAGGTAGCCGTCTTTTGTGGTTGTGTAGGCATACGGAGGGCAGACAGAGACGGAGGTGACGGTGCCCGAGTTCCACCGGAACTGGATGGGGTCGGCGTGGGGGAAGTCGAGTTCGGGGGCGAGCTTGCGGTAGACCTTGCCTTTGGTCTCGGCGGCGTCCTCTTGGAGGCGCTCGGCCAAAAGATCGCGGTCGATTTCCTCGGCATCGAAGGCGTACTCGTCCTGCAGCTCGTCGACTTCCTTTCGCGTCTTCTCGAGGTAGCGCTGGGCGAGTCTCAGACGCTTCTCGGCGGCGGTCTCGCCCTCGTTGTCGGCATCATCCGAGCCGCTTCTGCTGACAATGTCATCGTCTTCGTTCTCGGTATCGAGTTCACTGCCGGATATGTCTTCGTCGCGCTCAATGTCCTTCTTTTTCTTGAGAGCCGCGGTGGGCTTGGTGGGGCCTCTTGTCGCGGATTTGGAGGATGATTTTGTGGTCGCCAATCGCTTCTTGGGGACTTCTGTGGCTGCTGGACGCTTCCTCTTCTTCTGGGCGCCCGGGGTTGTGAAAAAGGACGACATGGTGGGCAATTTTGGCCGTGTTGTCGCTGCTTTGGCAGTCTTTTCTCACCAGCCGAATGCTGCAGCTTCAAAATTTCTTGAGCCGTCGTTAGAAAAAAAAAGTTGTCGGCCTGCACGAGTGGAGAAACACCCCTGGTCGGGTCTTGGCGTCCCTTGCGACCAAAGAAATCGGAGAAGGAAAATGCCGGCCGCCACTGCTTCGAGCTCCACCACTGTGGGGTATGCTTGTATGGAAGGCTGCGGCTCTTCTGAATGTCATTGATGTGTTTGATAGAGATACGGATAGCTACGAAATAAACGCTATTTTGGCATCATTGAATATCGCGGTACTGTCCCTCATTCTTCACCACTATCTCCATCCTCTGACATTTTGTCGGCCCCGTCTTGGTCGCCAGCAGTTCCATTCGCAGCCTTCTTGGCCTTTTCCTTCTGCCTTCTCTTCAACTTCTTCTCCCTGTTCAGTCGCTTCTTCTTCTCCTTAAGGTGCTCTTCCTTTGTGAGCTTCTTGCTCTCTTCTTCCTTGCGCTTCTGTTCCCTGATTCGAAGCTTGATCCTGGTCTTCTTTCCTGGCCTCTTTTTCTTCTTATCTCCCTCTTCTACAATCTTGCCTCCAGCAGTCATTGTTGTGGGTTTTTTGGTGGCCACAATCTCAATCTTCGTCACCCTCCATGGTACCTCTAGACCCCACGCTCTTTGTTTCGATAGCGCCAGAATGTCTTGGGCCGACATGGCGGAGTGTCGTATTTGCTCTTGCTGTTCGGGGGTGAGGGGCTCTTGTATGTAATAACTGAGAGGCCGTTCTTTGAAGGGTATTTCCTCTGTTGAGGCCTGTAGCTCATCCTCTTTCGGCGCAAGCACTACTTTTTGTGTTGGTGCTGATGAGAAGAGCCGGAACGAAAATTCTTCTTCTTGGTTCTCTTCATTTTCTAGTGGTGGTTGTGTCTCTTGGTCTGCATCGGCCATGGAGACATCACCCTCGGCCTCATGTTGTGGTGGCGCAGCGAGGTTGATGGCTAAGAGACTTGAGAGTTTTTGCCGGAGAAGGCTGGCATCTTGTTCTGAAGATATATACCTGTGCACTTCCCCCTCGTCAGAAGACGAGTAGAGGTCTTCCCTCCTCACTCTGATACGAAAATATGTTAGCGCATGTATGAGAGAGTGTGAATGAAGGGGCCTACCGTTTGGCATCTGGAACCTCGAACATGGTCGAATTGACACAATCGATGAAAGAATTAAGAAGTGGGACACTTGAGAGATGAGACTAATGAACGGGGCAGAGTTGAGTGTATTGACTGAGATTGTTATAGGTGACTTGAGTTTATGCTTCTGTGAGAGGTTCAAAATGAGAGAGGCCATTGAGAGCTCAAAAAATCGATATGCGACAGGTGGTCAGTGCTCCAACATAGGAAGGCTGAAGGTGCCCCGCAAATTCAACTCCCAAGGTGCGCGTTCCCGCCTGCCTAGCTCCAGCCCGCCATACCCAGCTCCATCCATGACCCCCAGCACCAGCATCAAGCAACCTTCGACGCTCACCTAACGTCCCAACCAACGCACCACATCTACAAATTCACGCCACAGCAGAGACAAAATGTACGTCGCATCTACCCATCCTATAGAGCACGCCCATCATTGACACTTTCTAGGGAGGTTCTACTGGGCATTACGGGCAAGGACTTTACGCTGATCGCCGCGTCGAAGGCGGCCATGCGTGGAGCTACCATCCTCAAGGCGTCCGACGACAAGACAAGACAGTTGAACAAGCACACACTCATGGCCTACTCTGGCGAGGCTGGTGATACCGGTCAGTCACCACAGTGTTCATGTACACCTTCCGGCAGCATGCTGACAGAACCCCACAGTCCAGTTTGCCGATTACATCCAAGCCAACGCCCAGCTCTACTCGATGCGCAACGAGTCGGACCTTTCTCCATCAGCTCTTGCTCACTTTGTCCGCGGTGAACTTGCTACGAGTCTTCGGTCGAGAAATCCATACAACGTAAACCTTCTTTTGGGTGGCGTTGACCCCATCACACACAAGTCTAGCCTGTACTGGTTGGACTACCTTGCGTCGCTCGCCCCCGTCCCATATGCTGCCCACGGTTATGCTCAGTATGATGGAATCCAATTCCAAACCCTATATCACCCCACTAACAATATGCCTTCTTAGATACTACTGCCTTTCTATCCTGGATAAGCACCACCACCCCGACATCACCCTCGGCCAAGGCATCAAACTTCTCACACTATGCGTCGACGAGCTCAAGAGAAGACTACCGATAGACTTCAAGGGGATGACGGTCAAGGCAGTGACCAAGGACGGCGTGGTAGATATCCAGTTTGATGACGACAAGGTGGTGAAGGCTGCTTGATTTAATGGGTTGCATTTGGAGTCTCGTGGGGGATTTCTCGGTGTATAATACCTGGCACGGACGATGCATGCATTCAATGGGATTTTAGAATTCAGGTTCTGGTTGGCACATGACTTGCCAGAGTTCAAGGTGACTTGGTGGTTTCGTCTCCTGATGCCTCAAATGCTTCGGATTTGGCCCCTGACTGGCAAGAGTGGTTACATCCGGAAGCTAGTCAAGTCGATCATACTTGAGTACACTTGGCTGGGGTGCGTAGAATGACGCTGACACGGGCAGTAATGAGGAAATCTCCTATTTTGACCTGTGTTTGCTCTATTCCCACAGTCCTCTGCAAGACAAGCAGAGTGGGGGCACACCCAACCACAACAGACGGTTTGACACGCTGCAGACTTGGTTTGGCACCATTTCTGGCCGATAGGGCGGTGAGAGGGTGAAGAGCCAATCCAAAGCACCTTCCCCGCGCTCAAAGAAGCCTTCGACTTTGTTGAGTGAGGCGGTGAGGCCGGGTTGCACGAATGCCCCCAAGCCCAAGCCACTCATCGTAACCCTCTGTTAGTGTAATGATGGCCGATGGCTGATGGCATCAGGGAAGGGGTTGCTCCTGATCTGTTGCCCCGTTCCCGAAAGGGCCCCGCATGCTGTTTGGTCGGGTGCGTGCCAGACGTGCCAGACACTTCCAACTGACTCAAGAGACAACTGTCCGCCGGCGGGTTCCTGCGTTGAAAGGAGAGAGATGGGAGGCATGTTTGGTGTCTAACTCTCTGAAGGAAGGCCAAACAGCCGTGACAGCCACTCGGCATGTCCAACAGGATCCCACCACTGCCCACTTGGAAGCCCCGTCCAGCCGTCGTCTGATGATGTTGACGAGAACAGACTTTGTGGAAATTAGAGATACCTTTGCGCAAGACAAGAAGGGATTGACAGTCACCAACTTAAGCCGGAACCCTTTATGTGACGTATGTTGCCACCGGAACACAAGTAGCAACCTATCTAATCAGTAGAGGAAGACATCGTCGGCTTAAGGGTTGGATCATCTTGCCCCACCAAGCGATTGCTTAGCAATTCTCTAACTGGCAGAAGGGGAAGGCGCTGAGTGGGTAGCAGTGCCAGGTTGGGGGCAACCTGTGGGTGGTTGCTGGCTGCTGCGGGCGTGAGTGGCACAAAGTGGGTCCCCCAGCACAGGATCCAAAACTCTTTTCTTTCTCGGGTCCCTCACTTTTCTCCTCTCCTGAAAAATCTTACCCTTTTCCTCCCCCACCCATCTCTGGATTTCTCTAATCCATCCCGCATCTCATCTCACTGTGCTTTTCCCTTTGGAATTGTCTTTCCTTTTTTTTCTTTTTAAGGATCTGTTTTTGCAGGTACTTTGAAAAGGATCGCATAGGAAGCATCACACACGCTCCCTCTCTTCGTAATACCTGGTTGTTACGAGCCACGCGAGCCACCTCGAAAAGTCGCAGGAAACCACTTAATTTCGCGCTTTCTCTGAGCCCAACCAATATTCTCTCGATTTCTTCGTCTTTTCGACTTTGATTTTTCCTCACTACTCTCATTTGAACAATCGCGTTCGTCTGAGCCCAACGATCAGAAAATAATCCCGACTTTTTATTCGCCTACCGACTGAAATAACCTCAGCAAATATGGCCGATCAACTCAGCGGCGGCATGGGCAACCTGTCCCTCGATCAGGCTCCCGCGGCGGCTCAGCTCGCTGGTCAGCACCCCGGCGGTCGCTCTTACATTCCTCCTCACCTTCGCGGCAAGATTGGGGCTAATGCCCCCCCTCCTGCCGTGAACAACGGACCTGCTCCTGGTGCCATGAACGGGCTCAACAACAGTGCCTGGGCTGGGTAAGTTTCAGACATCGCTTGCCATCACCTGTGTTGCAAACCGTGAATACTAACCTGATTTGCCCAGCAACAACAGCTTCGATGCTCGTGCCAACACCAACTTTGGTCCCACTCCTGGCGGCGCTGCTTCTTACGAGTCTGCCCCTCCCCCTCAGCAGCAGTCTTGGGGCAACCGTCAGGGTGGCTTCAACCGCAACGCCTACGGCGGTGGACGCTCCAATGTCGGCGGTAACATGGGCGGCGGCGGCGGTCCTATCGGCCGCGGTGAGGGTCGCTGGAGCGATGGCCAGCACATCATTGGCAACCCCGACCCGCGCGTCGAGCGTGAGCTCTTCGGCACTGCTGATGACCCGAGCAAGCAGCACACTGGCATCAACTTTGAGAAGTACGACGACATCCCGGTCACTCCTTCCGGCCATGATGTCCCTGAGCCCGTCTTGACCTTCTCCCACCCCCCTCTGGACAAGCATCTCTTGAGCAACATCGAGCTTGCTCGCTACAAGATCCCTACCCCTGTCCAGAAGTACTCGATCCCCATCGTCATTGGCGGTCGCGATTTGATGGCTTGCGCCCAGACAGGTTCCGGCAAGACTGGTGGTTTCTTGTTCCCCATCCTTCACCAGTCCTTCGTTCAGGGTCCTTCCCCCATTCCTGCCCAGGGTGGCGGCGGCGGTGGTTACCGCCAGCGCAAGGCGTACCCCACTGCCCTCATCTTGGCCCCCACCCGTGAGTTGGTCTCTCAGATCTACGATGAGTCCCGCAAGTTCGCCTACCGTTCGTGGGTCCGCCCTTGCGTTGTCTACGGTGGTGCCGATATAGGCTCTCAGCTCCGCCAAATCGAGCGCGGGTGCGATCTTCTTGTTGCTACCCCCGGCAGATTGGTCGACCTCATAGAGCGTGGTCGCATCTCCCTCTGCAACATCAAGTATCTTGTCCTTGACGAGGCCGATCGCATGCTTGATATGGGTTTCGAGCCCCAAATTCGCCGCATCGTCCAGGGTGAGGACATGCCTCTTACCGGCCAACGCCAAACTCTCATGTTTTCGGCCACCTTCCCCCGCGACATCCAGATGCTCGCTCAGGATTTCTTGAACGACTACGTCTTCTTGTCTGTCGGTCGTGTTGGTTCTACTTCAGAGAACATCACCCAGAAGGTCGAGTACGTTGAGGATGTTGACAAGCGCTCCGTCCTTCTTGATATCCTTCACACCCACGCCGGTGGTCTCACCCTTATCTTTGTTGAGACCAAGCGCATGGCCGACTCCCTTTCGGATTTCTTGATCAACCAGAACTTCCCCGCCACCTCGATTCACGGTGATCGTACCCAGCGTGAGCGTGAGCGTGCCCTCGAGCTTTTCCGCAATGGCAAGTGCCCTATCTTGGTTGCCACTGCTGTTGCTGCCCGTGGTTTGGATATTCCCAACGTCACCCACGTTATCAACTACGATCTCCCCACCGACATTGATGACTACGTTCATCGTATCGGTCGTACCGGCCGTGCTGGCAACACCGGTATTGCTACTGCTTTCTTCAACCGTGGCAACCGTGGTGTCGTCCGCGAGCTCCTCGAGCTTCTCAAGGAGGCCAACCAGGAGGTTCCCGGCTTCCTCGAGACCATTGCTCGTGAGTCTTCCTTCGGCGGTGGACGTGGCGGCCGTGGTGGTGGCGGTCGCGGTCGTGGCCGTGGCGGCAACACCGATTTCCGCAAGGGCGGTGGTTTCAGCGGTGGCGGTGGTGGTGGTTATGGCGGCGGTGGTTTCGGTGGACACAGCTCTGGCGGCGGCGGCGGCTTCGGCGGCGGCGGTGGTGGCTACGGCGGTGCTCCCCCCAGCGGAGGCTTTGGCGGCGGTGGTTATGGCAGCGGCGGCGGCGGTGGTGGTGGTTACAGCGGTGGCGGCGGCTACGGCAACCCTGGCGGCGGTGGTGGTCAGTCGTGGTGGTAAATATACCACTTCACGTCGTGAATCACCTCAACACCCACTTTTACATCATTGGCATCCGGCACTGCATCGTTCAGCACTGCATGGTTTACCAAGGATTCTGTCTCGCTTTTGTTTTGTTCTTTTATTGTTTGGCACATGGAATTGTTATGCGGCGATCATGACTTTCATTCTTTCGCAACCCAGCAGGGATCGAGTCCGATGGTTTTTTCGAGTTTGACGATGGAGATCGGGCTTTCCCTACTCGATACAGAACCACACGTTCGACGATTTGATACCCTTTTAGACCGCATTATTCGGAAGTCGACAACTCGACCGCGAGTGCATTCACATGCCACACGCGGCATACATATGCGGTTTCGGTTTTCGGCTGGTGTAATCTAGTCATCATTTTCCTGCTCTTGCCTTGCATTTCCGGCAGGGCACGAAGTTCACATTAGAGATGGGAGGCATGGGCGCCGCTGGCCTTTTCGATTTTCTGTTTTTCAATTTCTTCACTTGACGACCATCACACATAGACAAAAGTGGATTTCTCGGTTCTTTTTCTCTGGCCGGTTTCAGCAACGGTACCGGCAGGAGATGGGTCTTACAACAACAAAAACGGGACCTTTCAAAAGATTAGAATTCCATTTTTTTCGGCAGTTTGAGGACTGGGAGCAGGTTAATGGAGCATTTGATACCCCTTTGAAGATGGAACTCTGACGACGGATGGGGGCTACAAAAATGCTTGTGGCTCTCCTCTATTCAGAGCGTTTGGCATTGGCACGGCCGGTCGCAAAAAAGACATCGGGCACGAAGCGCAACGGACATTGTGCGCAAGGAGCGCCTGGGATTTTGCGGAAGGCTAAAAGGGGGATTGGCACGAATCTGAATTCTACTCGGACAGTGGCGGCTGTTCCCGCTCGGAGGCTCGAGACAAGACAAATCGTCTATGTATAATGGAGTCCAAATTAAAATCCATTTTTTACACCAAACAGTTGTGATTGTGTGTAATGTGTGTGATGTTTTGATGTGTCTCATGACTTGTGAAAGAAAATGAGGTCTGAATACGTGTAAGAGTCTTGTGATCTTGTGGAAGGTAATGATCGTGATGTTTGATAGACCTGATATCGGATGGTTTTGTATCCGTACATGACTGGGATAGTTTCTGGTTACGATAGCTGGTATTTGACATGTGCACATGATGAATAGTTATGAATATCCAGTTCCCTGTTTTCCATTTTTGTTCTCCTATTTGACAACTCTGCCAGACAGCCTCCCATCTGTCCCTGGACCAGCTGAACCTTTGCCCTCTCCTTTTCGCTTCCTAGGTCCAGTAACCGCTAGTTTTTGTGTAAACTACTCATAGTGATTCTGGTTCGTCTGTCGTAACCCTCGTGGGTCTCTATACAATATCCCATGCCATGTCCAGCCTATCCACAATCCCACTCCCAAAAAAGCTATTACACTTGTACACAGCAACACCCCAAACACTACTACAGCAACGTCCCACACCATACAAAAAATCAAGTCGTCAACTCCTCCAATATCCCCTCCAACTCCTCCTTCCCAAACGGCAAACTCAACAGCTCCGTCCCCAACGCGTCCTTGTGACTAGTAATAATCTGATGATCGTGAAACCTATTTTTTTTTCTCTTGTCAGCATATCACACCCGATTTCATCTCAGAATAAAATACGTACTCCTTCAACAACGTCCTAAACGCCATCTCACTACTACAGATAAACTCCTCCACCGCCTTGTTATACACCATCCTATACTCCACACTGATCTCCTCTCCTTGCCCCTGACCCTGACCATCACCCTCATCCGCACATAAAACCTCCCCAACCAGCAGTCTAAACAAGCTCTTTGCATTCTCCGGCAGCGACCTCAACACAAACGCCACTCCCTCCTTCCCCCCCACCCGTCGAGTCTTCCGACCCAAGAGTTCATGCACCGAGTCGACAACCTCCATTTCAGAGGGGGAGTACGAACAAAAAGTGGTGCAGTCATGGTAGAGAAACCGAAAGTTTGTGCCGACTGCCGAGTCCCATAGTAGGGCAAAATCAGGGGAGTCGGTTGTGCAGCAGAGGTAGACTTGTGCGTGAGAGGCAAGGGTGGAGATTATCGACTGAAAGGACCCCTTGCGGAGATGGGGGGAGGAGACAGAGTTTAGGAGGATGGTCAAGGTTGTGTTTGGGTGGGTTGTTAGATAGGAGAGGATACCCGGGAGGGTGGTTGTTGGGGAGGATACTGCTGAGGCGAGGGAGCAGAGGAGTTCTCTGATGGTGATGGAGGGGGTGTACCCGTTTATTATGACGATTTTGTTGGCTTGACCCAAGGAGCAAGGGGGGTGTGAGGAGAGGTATGTAGCGAATTTGTGGAGGATTTGACGTTTGGAGCCGTAGCCGTAGAGGCAGAGGGAGAAGGACTGGGAGAGTTCAAAGGCCCATTGGGGGAAGGAGGATACGTGGAGGGAGGCGAGGTGGGTGATGTCGGTTTTGTGGGGGTTGGCGGACGAGAGGTCGCGGGAGAGGGAGAAGTATTCGTCGTGGGTGAGGAGTTGGAGGGAGGACAGGGTGTTGTTGGAGGTTTTGGAAAGCCCGGGTTTGTTTTGGAAGAAGTATTGCTCGTGAGGGGGGAGATCGCGGGGGGGTGTGGGGGAGCGTTTTCGGGTTCTGGTTGTGGTGGTTTTGCGTTTTCGGCCGGGGGCGAATTTGGAGGGTGTTGTTGTCGGTTCGGTTTCTCCGTTTAGATTCTCTTCTTCTCCTTCTTCGTCTTCTTCGTCTTCTTCGTCTTCGCTGGATTCGTAGATTTCTCTTGCTATGTCCCCTTCTTCGGCTTCATCGTCGCTGATGGCGCCGCTTATCACACGGTCGACGAGGGCCCTGGCGCTTTTCCGTCTGGCGGATCTGTCTGCGTTATTCTTCCTGCTTGGTGTGTCTATCCCGTTGAGACCATTGAGTTTTATTGGTGTCGCTACTGTTTTCTTCAGCCTCGAGGCTGAGGGCGTACTGACGGTGGCATCGTCTGTGTCAGCGGCTGCTGTGGCGGCATGACGTCGTCGTTTCGGTGGCTCAATTTCGTCTTCTTCTGGGATTTCGTAAGGATCGGTAGTTGCTGGTCGTTTTCGGGGTACCCTAGCGGCAGCTTTCTGATTTGTGGTCTTTTTTGGGGGCATTTTTTGTTCTTGGCGGATATGTGATGGATGATAATCCTTTGGTGGTAGTTTAATGGAGACGCGCCCAGGGTTCAATTGACGCGACTTTTGATGTGGCCCGAGCTCCCCCTCTGTATCATCCCAGGGGTTCTTTGCACGGACTCTCAGTGACGTATTTGCTATAACCTCTAAGAACCGCCCTCTCGACATTTTTAACATGAATCTCAATTTATCTGCCTCACTAAACATATTTAAACTGCTGGCGAAGCCGTCATTATGTCTTCCCCAGGCAACGGTAGCCACCTTTGCCGACCTTCCAATACCGCTCGACAAGGCGTTTGCGGGACAGAGAGAGAAGGTTGATATCAAGGCGGTGGTCTTGGACAAGGATGACTGCTTTGCTTATCCGGAGCATAATGAGGTCTACGACCAGTACAAGGTATCCCTCCTAATTGTTCAGTGCCTCACGTGTAGAAAAATGTTAAAATATTGTACAGCAACGTTTCGAGGCATTGCGAGCTGCCTACCCAGGTCGCCGTCTCCTGATTGTCTCCAACACTTCTGGAGCCCAGAGTTATGACCGTGATGGAAAGCTCGCCGCTGCCGTTGAGAAGGCTACCGGTGTTGTCGTTCTTCCACATCAGACCAAGAAGCCCGGGTGTGGCGATGAAATCATGTCCTATTTCCGCAAGCATCCCGAGACAGGAGTGACCAGCCCAAGTCAGATCGCCGTTGTCGGAGATCGTTTGTCCACAGACATTATGCTGGCCAATATGATGGGAAGTTGGGGAGTCTGGGTCAAGGACGGCGTTGTTCCTCTGTCGGAGAAGAGCGTGGTAAGTTTTTGCGCAGGGAAATGAGTTGGGAATGGGAGCTCACCATGCTTGCAGTTCTCTAAGATGGAAAGAAGGCTAGCTCCATGGCTCATCGCCCGAGGTTACACGGCGCCTGATCCCTCAAGTCCTTTCGAGTGAACCGCACCGTCTTCCCAAATCGTCAGATCACGCTCAACTCGAAGGGTTCTGAGAATTTGCTTCAGAAAGCCACAGTTTCCAACCCACACCCAAGACACGCATTGCCTGGGAGACGTTTACCAACAATGGCCAATAACTGGAATACTTGACGCCATTGGGTTCTCCTGAACATGCTGGGCCATGGCCCGCCAGATGGCAATAACCCGGCCCGCCGGAGGAAATGGACAAAATGCTTGCTTACCTGATGGGATAGCAATGGGCACATACATTCTACCTGTGTAACATGGTGATTGACTGCTGATTGGCTGGGCTCCGGAGGTTTATCACCGCTGAACACAGTGTCCTTGAGTCCTCTCGAGGGGGATGTTCAATGATGGGGTTGGATGAATAGGGTTTACTGGAGCTTGATCTCTTTGTACAACATCATGTAATATTATCCAGTACCTCGATGGCCTGCTTGCTTGATAGGTCATGATATGTGATGCTTGAGCCAGTGACTCCAACCATAGTGACTTGTCACCCCCATTCCACGGTGATAATCGAGGGTTCCAGAACAGTGTATACGCCCCTGAAGAGTGTTCCCTATCATGCTAGAGGACTCGGAATAGCTGTATTATCGCCCATCGGCACAATCTTTCCAGTACGCTCTCTATTCCTTGCTGAAAGCCAGTCCGCCTTGCAAGCTCCTTTCGTTTTTCACGTTTTATATTCCGTTGTAAAACCGGTAACGTCCCCACATTACTATTTCCCATGGAGTTATTCATCTTATAGATGGTCTCTTACATGCAAGATCACCTAGGGTCTGAATGTCTCGAGTTCCGTCCAAGATTGACCTTGAAACTACCTTAGTAAACAGGGCAGTAAGAAAGATATGATCTTTGTGATGTGACTTCACAGTCTCGAAGACTCACAGTCATGCGTCGAGAAATGCAGGCGGCTCACAAGGGTTGTGCTGTACTCCTCGTGAACTTGCACGTGAGGAGGACTCCAGTCATCAGATACAATAGCTCTCTCTCTCTCAGCTGGAAGCATTAATGGCCTCTCCGGTGTATCGCAGAGACGGCATGCTTTTCATTCACGTGCGGGGAGTGATGTGAGTTGAAGGCCGACTTTTTCAAGGATCCATGTTGAGACTTGGGCCACCTGACCTTGGTGGAATGACAGTGTCAGTTGGCTAGACGTGAAATATATGAGACTGCGATGGTGGGTATCTGTCAGATATTTAGGAAGGAGAAGTATGAAATCATCAAGCGTCGCCGGTCTGATCAAAAGTCTAGAAAGATATCACTCATCACTTGTCTTTATGAACACTTTTCTTTGCGTCCGACCGCCTTCGCAGACAATTTATCCGCTCTGTGCTTCTTGTATTTGGGACAATGAAAGAGGGCGTTGGCTGCAAGTGATAGTTCACCTTTAGACATAATGAACAGTTGCTCTAAGTTGATATTCACCGGTAAAAAAACTCCCGACCTCGGTCGCACAGTCGCTGAGATAGCGTGGGAGCTTGACCGAGATAGGTGAGCAAGTTTCCATTTGCTTAGAGCACTCAGATTCCCCAGCAAGTGCTGATAATTCGCAATTGGCGGACTTGTTTGCTCATGAGCGGGGTGCCGCCGAATCCCCCACAAAGATTGAATCGGACGAACAAAGTGACAAAGGCTCCGCGGCCGTATGATAGAGACTAAGAGTGATTAATGATGCCGGTCAAGAAGACCCCCATCCTGCTCCGGCCGCAAGGGAAAGCTTCACGTGGTCCATCCCACTCTGCAAACGCTGCTCCAGGACGGCAGAGAGCGATAGAGACCGCATTGTTGTCTTTTTCGACGTCATATCCACTCTCAAGATCAGATTGTCAGCTTCCTGCCAGATAGCAATGGCCAGAAGCGGAGATAGGGGTGGCTTACATGAAAGGCCAGCCCGTGACCGTGCTCCCAGTGATCTATTGTCAAATTTCAGCTCGCGTCGACAATAGCAAACAGACATCGGATGACATTGGAGCTGGGTTTCATTGGTTCGAGTAGGAGCAATGCGACTTTAGATGAAGACATTCACCGCGAGGCTGTGGAGGTGGTCGGCGACAGTGAATATACCCAAGGGAACACTGTGCTGGCCATCCCCGGGTATAAATAACTTCCTCTTCCCTCTCCCTGGCTGTTTTTCTCTTTTTAGATTAACGATCAAGACTTTGACTGCTATCCGGATTCTTAGCAGCTACAAAGTCACCCCCAGCTTGAAAAGCGTCCATCCAGCAACCAATTCTCTTTTGGTACCTGTAAGTGAAGACTTTCAAGCCCTACCCTCACTTTTATACCCCTCAAAGGCTTTCTGGGGGCCCACCAGCTACGTCGTACACGTCCCCAACCACGTCTTTGACCCATGATTCTACTCTTTGAACATCTCACCTTCAATTGCCCCCAGAAGACCTATCATTACCCCTTCACACCCCTCTTAGCCCTCAAAACACCCATCACACCACCAATGGACGCCTGGACGAAATCTCTGGACGCCTTGGATTATCTTCCGGTCGCCTCAAGTTATCTTTTTGACGCCTCGAATTATATCTATCACGCCTATCATTAGATTTCGGACGCCTATAACAACATCATAAACATCTATAACACCCATTCAAATGCCTATTCACCACGGTTCAAGGCGTCCAGATTTCGAAACAACACCCTTCCACACTCTTCACATGCCTTCACCCCCATCTTACACCTCAAGTATGCATACAATTAACATCCCCACAGATCACATCACCATGCCCCCACCCAGCACCGTAGGCAAAGGCGGCAAAGCCTGGATCCGAGAAGAGGAGTTCCTCTTCTGGAAGAAACTCGTCCCGTTCACCAAGAAGCGCTGTGGTGATGATATCGAGAATAACGAGGAGCATGGGTGGAATTGGGTTGCATCCGAGATGAGGAAGAGGATGAGGGAGAAGTACCTGAAGGAAGGGGAGCCTGACCGTAGGAATTACACAGGACTCGCAATGTGTAAGTCTTTTTTGTTGAAGCATATTGGTTATGGGGAGTGGGGCTGACGTGAGACAGTCGAGCATTACTGGCAGAGTGCCCGTCATAGACGCCCGACTGTTGCTGCTGGCCGGTTTCCCAACCGGTATTGCAATTTGGGTATGTCTTCAATAGTTCACCCCTCAGAAGATCAGTAGCTAACTCCGTCCTAGAAGCCAACGAAGAGCAAGTCCGGGAGCGCGACGAACGCCTCGTCGCCATCCGCAAGAAGCGCCGTGATGCCCGCAAGGCAGCGCGCAAGGCAGCCCGTGAAGCTCGTGAAGCCCGCGAGGCTGAAGAAGCCGCCGACGGCAGTCCCATCAGGGAGAGCATCGAGTCGGACAACAAGGACGCTGACATGAGCGATGACACAGATGAAACCTCCGACAATGACGAGGAAGAAACCCCCGAGTTTGACGAAGCAGAAGCCATCCGTAAGATGGAGGAGTCCACCAAGATCAAGCAAGAGGGCGGCCCCGAGTACGAGTCTGACGAGGAGGACACCGAGTCTGAGCCCGACGCCAAACCCCGTCGTCGCAAGGGGGGCAAGAACAACAGGCGCGCTAGTATCAAGGAGAACCGGCGTTCAGGGTCGCCGGAGATGACGCCTTTTGCAAATAATGGGACTATGGCTGCTAAGAGGAGGGAGAGGTTGCGTGCTGGGGAGGAGATGAGGAGGAGGAATAGGGAGATGTATGCGATGTTGGGGAGGGGGGAGGGGAATGGGGGGTGTTATGGGGGACAGGGGCAGGGGCAAGGGCAGATGAGAAGTTGATTTTAGGGGGTTAGGATGGGGTGATTCAGGGGTGATGGGAGAGGGTTTATTGAGGGTGTGTTGGCGAAGCGGGACAGGTGGTTTTGGTTGGGTCAGGGAGCCATGATAGGGAGAGCAAGGGAAAAGTATGGTAATGGCGTTGCAAGAAGCGCATGGAAAGTCATGGTCATGGGAACTAAAGAGGTGGATTGATGAGTTACGGAATGGCGAAGTTCGTGGACGATTTAACAACTTGGCTTGATACCTTAGTCACTAGGTTCTATATACTTTATGCCAATCCTGATTTCTATTCCTAAATTTCTTCTCGCCGCTTTGCATTTCATGGGGGAAAAAATGAAATGTCTGTTGTTCCCAACCAATTGAGCTGTCTAACTACTATGAAAGAAGAAAAAAGAACAAACCTGAGGACGGATGTGAACAAACCAAAAATCGGCATTGCGAATAACACACTAATATAATTCCAAGTTCCCTTGCCAAAGTTCAACAATCACCTCTAATAGGTCCGCTGGCGTAATGGCAGCGCGTCTGACTACGATTCCTTCCCAGGATCAAGTAATCAGGAGGTTCCAGGTTCGACCCCTGGGCGGATCGGTTTCTTTTGCCTAACCTTTTCTGTATACCCTCAGACTCACGCCTTCTTTTTCACTTTTCTCATTCCCAAAAATGACGTGAGTATCTGTTGAGTTATGGTACGAAAGCTAAGAACAATGTTGTTGAGGAAATTTTTCGGTAGCTTCGATGTTGAGTTTTCGCCCGCGTTGGTGGGGCAACCGAGCTCATCAAAAAGGGGGTTCTCACCAAGATTCAAGCTTCACGATCATCTCGATTGTGCGTCAGCCATCCTGTGGTTAGCGGCCTTGAGTGGCTGACATGTGGTATGTTCCCGAGGATAAGAAGATGAAGCCATTCCACGGTCTGTTACAGCCTCGTGGAGGGGGTGGCGGGTGGTGGGAGATGAACTGAACCGATGGCGAGTGGCTTGACATTTCGGTCCCGTGTGTTCTTCCGGCTGTGCGCTCCGAGTCTCTCTATATTCCAGTAGCTTGCGTACCTTCAGCCCAAGGGGTTCGTTCGCTGTGGAGAGAGGCGTACCTTTGTGCGGTTTGTGGCGGGACAACAAGATAGCACCTTCAAGGTGGTGCTGGTAATTTCTTCTTTTTTTCTGTAGTTCTTATTTCGTGTAGAAAGAAGTGAAGATTCCGCTTACGTGCATTTGTGTATCGCACCAAGACCCATGATTTGCCTCAAACAAAAACTTCAAAACCTTTTTGCGCCTTGCACTCTTAGGGCACCGAGATATATGGTACCTCTCAACCAAAAACCCCAGAACCTTTTTGCCCCCTTTTGCTCCATCTTCAAGGAAGAGTGAAAACATCGCGTATCACGGAAAATAAGTACACTGCTTGCGATGAGTAGGAGACCACAGGGATTTCACGTTAGTGGAACTCACATGTAGCAATAATACAGTGTTTTTGTCTTTTGGCAGTGGCCGGCCACTCTTCCACTTATCTTGCGTCGGCTTTGGCTTTTTTTTGTGTTTTTTCTTTTTTCTTTCTTTTTTTTTCTTTTTTTTCTTTTTTTCTTCTTTTTTTCTTTACGCTTCTTCCTGTAGTAATACAGTCAATCTGAATGGTAGTTGTATGGCCTCTATGGACCATCGTGGTACCTAAAACTACTGACAACTTCAGCAAAGGGACAACACTGGGGGGAAGTCATAAAAAGATCAAGGTTTGACGAGCAAGGGCAGAAAGGCGAATCGGTGCTTTGACGTAGCTTGAAGGGGTTGGAAAGGGGGGATGAGATCGATATGGAAGCGACGCGGATGAAGCATAGGCATTGCCCACACTTACTCAAACTCCAGCACCAGGCACCCATGACGTAGATTTCAGCTTCCTATCACCTTTGAATTCGATCAGGCGCCATCTATCCCAGAAGACATATCCCCAGTCACGGGGGCTAGGCTTCCGCACATCACCCCCGTAGGCATTGAGGTACTTCCCGTTGCACACCAGGACCCAACCATAGGGAGGCTCGCTCTCTGACTCACCAACATAAGGGAGAGGATCTCCCCTATCCTGGGCGAGGTCATGCTCTGTGATGCCACTACGACGTCTCAATCGCTGAGGACCTTGGCCGAGGACGTTTTCCATGAATCCATACCCCGGAGTCCACTGATTGCCTGGTCGTATCGTGATCATGCTATAAAAGTTAACGTCTCCCAGAGCCGAGTTAAATCCTCGTAGGCCCCAGGAAGCAGCACCGCCAGCCAAGGCGAATTCATTTGTGACGGCTGCTCGGGAGTCAGCGAAACACAAAACAGGGAGGAAATTGCTCAGATATGACTCGAAGCGCACCATGAAACAAGTTCTTCTCCATCATCCGGAGGCGAGTCGTCATCTCGTCATGGACCAAGGTGTACACGGAGAAGATCTCTTCGACCTCCCACGGCCGGAAGAGACAAAAGAAATGCTTAAGCACCTCTTCCTCCTTGTAGTTGAGCTGCAAGTGGCGTGACTCGCCGCCAAACAAGCAGCTGTAGAGCTCAAAACGGTAGAGTGCCCTCAAAAGACGGGTGTTCTCCGTGGGCGACAGATGGGTAAAGATGGGCGGCCGCTGGGGGTCAAACCTGCAAAGAAAGAGGCGTGCAAAATGCACAGTCAGTGGACGAGCATAAGTGTGCCAAAACAAGAACATTCCAAGAACAGCATCTTCGCTGTAGCCGTCAATGGGCTTCCCGATTGTGGATCCATCACGGTCGCGTAAATTCTTGTAGTTATTCAACTGCTCTTGAACTTTGTCTCTATCGACAGACTTGTCAACTCGTAGTGTAGAAGCTTTCTGAAGAGCCAGGGCATCGGTCATGACGCCAGTGTCCAGTGACATCTTGAGATGCCCAGCAAGCAGAGACTTCTTGTTCTCGAGATACATTCGAAGAAAGACGGGTGATGCTTGCACGAGAGACATGAGGTCGGTAAAGTCGGGAATGCAGCGGAGGATATTATCTCGAAGCTCGTACGGCAGGGCCTCGAGTGATCCGAGCGTTGAAGTTGCCCTGGGCTTGATGAGAGACTCGTTATCAGAGATCTGGGATGACTGAGCCATGGATTCGAATCCAAAGAGATTGGTCACAATGTAGTCCAAGCAGCGGAGGATTTTCTCTGGAAGCTCGTACGGCAGGGTCTCGAGTGATTGGAGCCTGGAAGCTGGCCAAGACTTCATTCGAAACTCGATAGAGATCTGGAGTGACTGAGCCATGGATTTGAATCCAGAGAGCTTGGCCCCGATGTAGTCCAAGAAGCGCTCCCAGTAGTTGTTGACAAATGACTTGACTTCGTGCCAGAGGACTTCCCAACGCCAGGTCTCTGAGCCTGTGGCAGATGGCATTCTAGGCTTGGTGTGCAAGATCTTTGACAAGGCAATGCCGCGTGCCAACCCGGAGAGATTGATGTTCGTGTGGCCCAAACCTTGGCAGGCATCGCAGACATAATGGCTAAACCTTTCGAGCAGGCTGCGTTTGGATGCTGGGGGCACGCTTGAGGGAGATGCTGCCCTAGATCGCGGCCGAGGCTTCTTGGACAGCTTGTCGACTGATACAGGTTTCCATGTCGGTCGAGGTTGGCTGGTTGTCCCTGCTTCGTCCCAGATGGTCAAGCCCTCTGTCTTGATCGACAACCAGGATAGACCAGTAGCAGTCTTATCGGCGATGTTAGCAACTGAAAGGCCACGCATTTCAAATTTCAGACAAGAAAGCCAGGAGGTGAGACCCAAAACCCAAACCAAAAAAGGAGATGTGAAGAGGTGAGTACGAGTAAGTAATCTGAGTGAAAAAGTTTTTTGCAGGCAGTCAGCTAGCTGACTCGTGAAGGCCGTTGAGACTACGGCCATATAGTGAGTTGATGGCCGATCGATACGAGGGAGCGCGAGGAACCGTTTGCTCCTGTTGTTCAATGCCCGGTGGATGAACCAAGCAAGGCAAATGCTTATCTTCTTGAGCATGTTATCAAGTGTGTGATAACATCATCAGCCTGTCGACCGTGTCTTTTCTGTGATGATGGCAACCGAGAGATATGGAACTCTATCCGGCCCGGCCGTTGACTGAGATATGTGGGGTTAAAAGGCATCTTGATGTCATGGATGGCGTAAATGGCTTGCTGTCAAGTTGAGAACGAGGTCTGACAGCAGAGAGGCGATTGGCGTGTTGTTGAGCCAGGCGATGGGATCGGTCCGGGCACCATGGCACGTGATGGCGCTGATGAGGAAAGAAGCCAACATGCCCAGCAGGAAGGCACCTCGGTAGCCGCTAAGAAATGGATCCCGTCGACGCTTGATGACTTTCCTGGGGTAAATGGGGAACAGCAGCATCTCGATTTCTTGGAGTAGTAGTGCCACAGTTGTCAAATCACATGGCAGATCGCATGGCCTCATCGTGGTCATTCTTGTTACCGCTACCAAACCATCGAATTCTATTCCGGGTATACTTGCAAACACACACTACTATGGCACCACTACGCCAACCTCTTCCTCAGCTGTCACAGCCAACTCCGCAGCTCTCTCCATCCGTCTTGCCTTTCTGTTGCCAGTCGCCTTCTGCAGCTGCTCCCTCCTCTCCTGCTTCCTCGCCGCCTTATCAACAAGACCAATAACCTTTTGTTCTCCAATCACGGGATGCCTAGCCGCCGCAGCCGCCGCCTCGTCCTCTTCGGTCCATTCGATCGGCAACGTGGCAAACACCAGATACGAGGTGTGTGTCTTGATCTCAGGCTCGCCGCGGGTGATCAGCCGGCCTTCCATCCACATGGGCACCCCTGACGGCAACGCCTCAAAGCTCTCTGGGGAGTCAGGTTTGTGGTCAATCTTGACTTTCTTCTCGCCGCCGCGCTTCCTTCCGCCTTTCTGTTCCTTCTTCTCACGCCGCTTGATCAGTCCGTCATCCTCGTCGCCGTCCATCTCGTCATCCGACTCTTTCGACCTGGCGGCATGCTCCCGGAACCGAGCTTCAATCTCAGTCAGCCGAGAGAGAGCCTCATCGACATCACGAGCCGAATTGTTGACACCGCGGTCCATGGAGAGGTTCAGACCGACACGTTCACGGGAAGTGTGGTACTTTCTGTTGGCAATCTCAACCATGTCGATATCGACCCAACCCAAGCGCCGCATTGCCGAAACTGTCTTGGTGACCTGCTCGATACATGGTGAAAAGGTGCAGATGTGGGCGCTCTTCTTTGGGTTAAGTGGTGATACCCACTCTTTGTCTTCTGGGTTCTTGGGGTTCCGCCTGGAGAGGTGATGTAGTGCCTCCCAAGGAGCTGGGAGATCGAGAAAGATGGCCTCGGCCTCGGGACTCTTGCCATCAATCAAGAAGCCGCCGTTGTAGACATCCCGATGTGTCAAGTGGACCAAGCTGTTGAGGTTGTGTTCCTTCAGCTCCTGATTCATCTTGTGGAAGCGTTGCTCATGGAACTCAAAGCTGTAGACTTTGCCCTTGCGCTCTCCTTCACTTGGATATCCATTGTAGACGGCTCGTACAGAGGCGTGGCTGAAGCTGCCGCTGCCAGCACCAGCCTCAATCAACACAGAGCCAGGTCTGGCACGTATTCTGTGTAAAACATAGCTGTAATCTGGCGTATAGACGACCTGCGTTCGGTGCGGCAAGCTGCTCGTCCATACTTCGGGGGTTGGGGGGAGGATGTGGATGAAGCCGCTGACGTCGGCGACAATCTTTTTGGCGACAGCGGCGGAGTCGTCATTGACTTCGGCAGGCGTACTTTCTTGCTCGGTTTTCTCCTCGGCAACAGTGGCCGAAGCCTCCTTTCCGTCGTCATCGCTCTTGTTACGCTTCCTCTTATTGTTGCGACCTCGGGAGCCAGTGTCGACTTTCGATGCGCGAATTTGTGAGCCCCATGGCACGCCAATCATGGTCGAGTGAGGAAAGGAGCCATAGCGGGTGTTGACGACAGCGCCCTCGGCGTACCCATCGTGTTTCCCGGAGGGGGCTTTGAGGTAGACTGGTTGGAGGTTGTCGCGGGAGAGCTGGAGAATGGCCAGCGACCCGACCTTGGTAGTTTTGCCTGGCTCCAAGAAAGGCGAGATCTTGGGCGTCTGGCTGCGCGTTTTGGGTGCCATTGTGTCGTCCATAGCGACTGATGGGCAGCGTTTCGCGGGCTGGAAGATGTTGAAGTGATGAAATTGATTCGCAGCTGCGGAAAGGTTTCAGGGACAACAGCTGGTGAAAATTCAGTGGGGTGTGGGGCGCGGGGCGGAATTGGAGCGTAAATTACACTTGTCGAGACATCTCCAGAGCATACACTCTTGATGAATGACAGGCACAAAGTAAGACTGCTGACATACAATTTTACTAGGATAGTCTCAGCTATCATATCATCCTCAAGAAGCAACCGCACTTCCCCGCGACGCACGATTAATCCCGACAAGGTGTAATTTACCTTTCACTTTACACCGGTAATTCATGCACCTTGGCGGTCGGGACAAAAATAAGCTTTTGCCAAGAATGCGGGGAGCTCCACCAGTTCCAGAGACCCCCACTGCCGCTATCGAGGTGCTTGGTCCGGATCAGAAAGATATCACACCTTCTGAGATGTTGAGTGCTATTGAGGGATTTCACCATCGGACTACGGTACCTATGCTTCAGCCCTTTCCGCCCTCTCACACATCTGGAACCTTCCCTTAGCTTCATCTCGCCGAAAACCATCAGCCATCAACCACCAATCTCCCGGATCGATCACCACCGGCCTCGTAACCCACCACATGATGACCTCACAACAACCGGAACAACCCCTCAATACCCAGAAAATCTCATCGACTCATGAATCTCATGGTTCCTACCTCCCCATTAGCAAACATCTCCCTGGCCTTATATCAACCAACCCATTCACTCACGGATTCCATTCATCCCTTTCCCCATACTGCTGATCATACAGCTCCTCCACTTGCCGCCTAGCATGCTCCCTCCCCCGCTCCCTGTCTCTTTCATTCCCCCCATCCCGGCCATGGTGCCTCTCCCATAGCTTGTCGGCTTCCGCGCCCGCCATGGCAGCAAGCGCTTCCTTGGCAAAGCCGTGGGAGACTGGCTCGCCTTTGCGGCGTTGTTCCTTTTCCCAGAGGTGCATCGCTTCAAAGGCTGCCGCGCCGCCGAGGATCTCGTGGCCGAGGTTGGGTTTGGAGGAAGGGCGGTCGTCGTTGGAGTATAGTTGGTCGCGGGCGTCTCTTGCCTCGACTGCAATTATCAGCATACCCGTGTCAAAGTGAGGGTAGTGGGAGGCACTAACTGAAGTCGAAGAAACCCATGTTGGTAGATTTTGAGGAGGTGATAAACTGGATGTGGTAGATGGAATTAGTATATGGATGGAATTTGCAGAAGCAGGACAGGTCAAAGACTCAAGCGCTTGCTTCTGATGGGCATGCGAACCCCTTATGTAGAAAGCTAGGTATACAACCCCCTCATTCCGAGTCATGTCCCATCCCACCTCATAACCGTAGAGCTGTCCAGCTCGTCGTGAAAGAGCTTGACCAGCAGGTTGACTATCATCGGATGATCAAGCGCAGCTGTCATGACATCAGGTATGCGTTCATTTACGAACACTACCACCCTTATTCAGATGAACGAACAGTCGTGTAGATCCGCTCATCCATAATTTAAGTGAAAAATAAATAAAAAACCACAGGAAACCCCGGGCACGCTATCAGTCAAACAAATAAAAGACACACTATTTACTTTGTTTCCTCCTTCAAAGATTGGTGCGAGTATATACGCAATAGGGAGCAAAAGAAAAAGCACAGCTACAAGTACCTAGCTGAAGCTACAGACACCTTAAAACTCTACACCTCTATACAAATCCCCGCTCAAGTGTTGAATAGCGTATGGCTGCAGAGTGGCTTCGACTGGACTCCGCAGTTCTGCTTACCCATCACACAGCGTATATCTCTATAAAGTGGATTAAGTTCCAGTGAAGTCAGAAGTGTTCACATGCAACATCACCTTGAGCGCATGCCAAAATCTCCCTAACCACTCCATACAAAATCGTCATTCTTGTCTATCATAAGGTATCTCACCCGTACATAGTCATTCTCATGAGCTATCCATAACCATTCATAACCCATACATTATTCCCATAACACCTGGCTACCAAATCCCAACCACGCCCTCAACCCCCCCCCCCCCTTCCCCGTTAACGATACTGATACCCCCACCCAGCCCCATCACGACTATTACTCGGCATCTGTCCCGGCGGCCTAATCACTGTTCCCACACCGGTACCACTCGGCGCCACAACCATACTAAACGGCCGGCCTCCAACCCCCCTAAACCCACCACCACCACTACCAAAAACCGGCCCCCCGCTATTACCCCCCCCGTTGAAACCTTGCGAAGGAAAAGGCGGATAATTCCCCGGCTGGTACAACGGCGGCTGAGAATTCTGATGCAAGTGCTGAACCGGTTGCTGATGGTGTGGCACTTGCGCCGTCATCTGCAGTGTTCGCCCGCCCTGCTGCATTTGGCCACCACCACCACCACCACCAGCGTGTTTTGCATTCTTTTGTAGTTTCATCCCCGGACTGCTCGGCCCCCCACCTCCTTTGCGCAGACTATCACTCCTAAAAAGTTTCCCAATATTGAAGAAAGAGCTCTTTTGTGGTTCTTGCTGCGGTGGGGGGGAGAACATGCGTTGCGGTTGGATAAATTGCTGTGGTTGGGGCGGTGGTGCTGCCTGGGCTTGAGCTCCTGGTGGGTTCATGTTTGTTGATGGGGGAGATGTGGGTGGGGTGAATGCGGTGTATTTTTGCGGTTGAGATGGTGGTGGTGCTGGGGAAGACCGGTTTGGAGTTGGTGTTGTCCGTCGTAAAGAGGCTGTTCTTTGGGGTACTAAGCCGGGGGGCACACGGTCGTCTGTGTTGGGGTGTGTGTGTAGGTTTGTGATTTGCGGTGGTGATCCGACAATGGACCAGCGTTTGTTTGTAGTAGGCGGTGGTTGAGAGGAAAGATCTGTATCAGGGCTGATAAACATGCTATATCGGTTATTACTTGTCGACGAGGGCGGGGAAGCACCAGCTGGCGGAACTTGGCAATTTGATTTTGGCGGCGCTGGGGATACTGAAGGCGGGATTTGTGAAAGATCCACTGGGTGGGAGTTGAGCGGATGATGACCAGCTGGGAGAACATATGGAGTCGCTTTAGACACGGGAGGCGTCCCTGATGTTGGTGCTTTCGGCGGTAAAGATGGCGGAGGGGTACGAAGATTCGAGCTGTGTGATTTTGGTGTGTGAGGCATCTTTGGTCGTCGAGGCGGACCGTGCTGATTCGGAATTTGGGAAGATGAATCTCGAGCACCGCTGTGATTAGATGCTTGTCTTGTTGTTAACTGAGGATTCATATACCCTCCATCGTTAGGGCCAGGTTGAAGATTCGAGTTTTCTCCAGCACCAGACTGAAAGTATTGAGCCTGCCACGGTGTTGGCCTAGTCGTCGGGGGCAAAGATTGACGTTTGTTGGCCGCACTTGAAAACTGTCCATGGTCCTGATTCCGCGATGATTCGCGCGGAAGAATATGCTGTAGAGGTGTGCCAACATTCCTGATAGGACCCTGTGGCGCTGGCATTACCGGCGTGTTGTCAAGAGTGTAAACGTTCGTTGTGTCCGGCGATGAGATCTGACCAGGTACGGGGCCCGAGTGAACCTTCGCCAAGGGCTGTGCCGTGACACCGAGTAAATCCCCAGGTTCGGCTGCTTGTTGTCCTTTGCCCCACGTATAAGTTCGAGCAGAAAAACTGGGAAACGGTGGCTCGGAGGGAGTAGTTGCTGCATGCTTCGACGGCAAAGGCGGCGTTTGCGGTGGACTGACAGGATCCGGGACCCTAGTTGCCTGTATTTCTGGCGTGCTCATTGCAGGGACGGATGCCATCTGGTGGTCTGATGGCACTGGTGTGGTCTCCCGGGACACTATGTAAACTTCGGTAGGTGGTGCTGGGGGCCTAAGAGTAGATGATACGGTTGGCAAACGGTTCTGGATATCAGGAGGAGGAGGAGGAGATTTACGGGTGAGCTTCAAGGGCTGCGGGACATCGGGACTTGAGGGCGGGAGGGGAGCAGCAACATCCGGAGATCGCGTCGTACTTGCCTCGCTGATGTTGTAATGATAAGACAAAGCTGGTTGGGACTTAACATTCTGCAGGGCGCTTGGCGCACTAGGAGCTGACGGAGGGATCTGAGGGCGCATAGCGTAGTATGAGCCGGTCATGGAGTCGCCTGGGGCAGTGCTTGTTCTCGGAAACGCAGGCCGATCTGGACCTCCCGGATCGGCAGCTGCTTGGCCGTAGCCTGTTTTAGACAACATCTCAACGGTTTCCTCAATGTCTCGCTGCAAATCCCACGAGGTAGGTTTGTAGGCCGTGTACCTCTGATTGGTGTCTGTGCTGTGGCTCGGTGGGCCTTGACTCGGCGGACTCTTGCTTTGGGGGCGGGATTTCGTGAGCACAGGGCGTCCTCGGGCAGGCTGAAGAACCGACGGAACATGAGTGAGCCCTGAAGCGTTGCCCGGTTGTGGAGGCGAGGAAGTATTCTCTTTCCTCAATCCATATCCAGGAACGGGTGGTGTGCTTTCGTCATCCACTGGCTGCTTCAGTGAAACCATTGGCGCTGACAAGGCGGCGGGAATCTCGGGCCGTCTCCAATTGGATGGCGGTGGTCCTGCGAGCGAGTGTCTCTTATTTTCTCCGACCGGAGCCTGTCTGGGAGCTTCCTCGGCAACGGTGTTGATGGTTGGATTCCACGGCCGGTATTGTCCCTGATACGGATCTCTTGCTGAATTCTGCTGTGTGGCGGTCGGAGCCGGCTGAGGCATCGAGTTCTGGCGGAGAGGAGGCCGGTGAGGATCTGAAGATGCTTGCTGGTTGTTGAGGCTCGGAGATCCGGACGACAGTGTTTTTTGCTCTGTGCTACCTAATCGATGCATTCGACTTGGGGGTATCGCTTCCGAATGCAACTCCGAAGGGGCCAGAGGAAAGGCGTTGGCATAAATCAGTGGCGGGCCAGTATCCATCATGATATCGTTGCCTGGCAATTCGACCGGCGTGGGGTTTATATCCTCGTGACATTGCCCAGTCAATTCGCTGGGAAGCTCGGCCACGAACCCAACCGGCGTGTATGCAACCTGGCGACTGTCGAGTAACGGGATTGCGTCAACTACAGGGGCACTTTCTCCATGGACTTCCGAAATTTGCACACTGTCGATCTCTTGGGTTGTACGAGCAGGTGGGCTTTGAACAGGAGGTCGACTTTCATGCGCAGGTTGGGCTATGACTGGCGGGCTCTCAATTACATTGTAACTTTCGATCAAAGGCTGACTCTGAGTTACAGGCGGGCTCTCGATAACAGGTGGGCTTTCGATGACAGGGAGGCTTTGGACAACGAGTGGAGTAGTTTCGGCGCTTACAACCGGTGATATATTCGATTGCTGCGGTAATACCTCTGAGGTCGGTGGCGGAGCTGGCGACCGAGTTGGAACTGGCGCTGAAGTCGGCTTTGGAGGATTTGTCTGGCCAGTTTCAGAGTCTTTCTTTGGCGGTAGATCATCCTCATCTTCCTGCAGTGGACTTATGTCATCGTAAGCTCCCGGTCCCATGTACATGAAGATATCAGGCTGGAACCAAGGAGCGCTGGAACCATCTTCGTCCTCGGCAATCGTAGCCTTTGCCAGGGTGCTTTTTGCTTTCGCAGTAGAGGTCCTCTCGCCGACGGTACTCCTCCTTTTGACTTGTAACTGGCTCACAAGTCTTTCCTCGGGCTCCAGGTCGATGGGGGCGCTATCGTCTATGCTTTGGGGAAACTCGTCGCCAGGCTGGGGAAAATGAAACTGGGTAATCCCCGTGGGTTTGTAGCGGTAGAACCATCTTTGACTCTCTCCATCGTAATCCCACTCCCAATTTTCGGGAAGCGCAGACATGATGGTCTTCGCGTTGGTTGAGAATACAACTCGATCTTCGAATCGCGTGTTTATGATCGGTGTGCGCCCAGCCAGAGCCTTGTCTATAGCTCGATCCGATGCCAGTACCGAGTTAACCCCGCAGGAGAAGGGTTGTCAAAAAGGTGTTTGGGAGCTGTCTCTACCTGAAGAAACCCATGGTGTATCTTGGTGTCTCAGGACTGAGAGGGCAGAAAAAAAGACGGGAGCCTGACAACTTGTCAGGTAGATGAAAAGAAAAGCGTAAGAGGGGACAGTAAGCGGTAAGTAATAAATTCCTAGCGGGAGAACTCGACGCCGTGCGCGCTTCCAGGCCTGGTGCCAGCAAGC